ACCTTCAATGATAATCAAACCAAGAATTTTTTCTTCCATGCTTTAGAATGAATGTTTTGAATATATCCATGCAATAAGAACAAACCAATTTCTATATTGTGCTCCAACCAAATAACATCCAATAAGTAGGCAAATCACTTATCTTTTATGTAAGGGCATCTTTCAACTGAAAATTCTATTTCGAAGTGATATAATAAGTTAGCAAAGTCGTTTCCCACAATGTATGAAGTTTTTCAATGAGAGGCAATAAATTGACATATTTTTTTCTTACGGCCAATATGGACTTGGCATGATTAACATAAGAAACAAGAACGACGTGGTCATGCACATATCAGGGCTCAAATTATATGTCGTAATAATCATTGGCCAATATGAATACGGTGTTACGACGTGATTGTCTGGTGTGAACTCATCTGCACGTAAACCAAGCTTAACGTTGCATATTTCGTACAAGTGATGGATGACTCATTGAATTTGCATCAAACGATCCAATACTGTGTCTTGTCATGTGAGGAACTATATGCATAAAAGTGAATAGTCTCTGAAGCCAGGGTATAAGTTGCAAGTAGAAGAAACACTTGTATGAAATATTTTTCTGAATTTTACTATTTTTTCCCTTTGGTTTAAATATTTAAGTACTGCAAAATCTGCATTTTGTCTTCACCTCTTCAAATCTAGCTTTCACTATGACCACCTCTTCTAAATCCTCTCTACAACTACGTTTAATAAATTTTTAGTGCTCTTCACCTTGGTCCCTGGATTCACCTTAGTGCTACTATGTAATGCCCCTTGGCATCAATGACTCGACGTGTTACTTAACTTTCCTAATTGTTTTTCTATGTTTCTTATGGCTACAACTCTGTAGTTGATTTCCATTATGCAACACAAAATCTTCCAAAATTTTCTCTTCTCCAAATTGAGTATTTGAGATGAGTTCAAAAGGAAAATTAGGCCCGAGGTCGGAGAAATTACTACCATAATTGCTCCAATAATCAATCATATTTTGTTGCTAATTAACTAATTATTTTCTACAATTTGGTTCTCATTCCAACTAAAATTAAGATGGTTTTTTCAATCAAGATTGTAGTTGTTATAATATGGGTACTTGAGTGTGTTATAAATCACATTCTAGAACTCTACAAACACAAACACTCAGATCCCATAATTGTCTACAATAATTTTCATCATTCGTTGTTGATTCTAATGCAAAATTCAAATCTAAATTGTCAATGTTTTTAGATATAGCAACTGCATGTGAAATTAAGATTAACAACATCTGGTAATTTGGCATCTCTCCAATATCTATTAAGTTTTGTGGATAATATTATTTTTTTTTCAATTTTTTTTTATGTTCAGATTCATACGTCACCAGTTCCGCAATTTCAATCCTACGCGTCCAAAACTAAGACTATCAAGTGAGTGACCTTAAATCTAAAAGAACACCAACACACACAAATAAAATAAGATAAACAGAAATATATGTAAAATAATAAAAATAAGAAGTACAAAACAAGAATCTTTTTAGAGTTTTTAACATAGAAAATAACAAATAAATATAATAAGAAAATGACAACAAGTTTTAAGTCTAAACCCAACAATTCAACTAAAATTCTCCAAAAAATTTAAAATTTAACATTGTTACCCGACAATAAAGCTAAAAAATTGATACAACCAAAATGTTATAAAACATTGAAATATATAGGAGTATACATATCAAGCAAGTAGTATATGAAACTGATTTTGCGTTTCGATCTCACGAGGAATGAGTGAACTCCCACAGTTTAGAAAAGTTCTAGTATAATAGTATTGAGTCTAGCCCGAAGATTTAATATTTGGTGATATTAAAGTTTCTAATAATAACTTCTGCAAAAAATAAAATCTAGACTAGTTTTGAGTTTGAAAAAAATGAAAGAAAAACTTCCCTGAAATGGTCCTAGGTAAACCAGATTTATCGATATAACTCTAATAAAGCTGACAATCAAGAACAATAGTTTTTTTTAGCCCTTCCGGTGGTCATAAAAAAATTTATGATATCATATTACACAATTAGTCTCATAACCTTGTAAAACTCACAGTAATTGTAAATTTTCCTACATGATTGCATCATCATAACAACAACATTCATATTAATTTTTAGGCCTATGAGTCTTGAATTTGTCTTATAATTTTATGAACATCATTGAGTTATGCATGTTCATTGTCCCCCATCTTAAAGCTTACAAAACCATCCAACTTTCTAACTCTAAGAGAAAATAAGTTTTATTATAAAAATAAACTCAAATAATGACCATTGCGAAATCGCTATCAAAGAAACAATCAAATAAGTTTATTCAACGTACATTATACCCGACATTCCAAAGTGTCAAGCTAATTATCATCTTGTTCATATTTAAGTCCTTTGGCATATTTAAGAACTTGCAACCAAAATTTATTAGATTCAAACAAATTTAATGACTTTATTATTGCCTCCTTAAGAATAATCACCTATATAAAACATATGTTAGATCTCTACGTTCATATTCATGTATTAACATTCATCCCCATAAAGCACACATTACATCACAAGCAAAATAATAATAAAAGCATAAGCAAACAATGTAACCACTAAAAGTTATCCTAACCTAGCTCTAGGTTGGTAGCCTACATGTAAGTTTAGTATGTGAAGGTCATTTGGTTAGCCTCTAATTAGTCTTTGATGTTTATATTTCAACTTAAGTTTCAATTTAAACTTACCTAAAGAATGTTTTCAATTTAAGCAATTAACAACCTAGAAATTCAATTTAGACTCTAATTGATTCAATTTTCTTTTCAATTTAAGGTTTTAAAGTATGTAGCAACAGGGACTCACCAAGGGTAAGTACTACAACTTATAAAACCTTATACCTAACAGGATAAAAGCTTCAAACAAAAAGTAGCATTCTACAACATTTAAGAAGTGATTTAAAGCAATCTAAAATGTTGAATTTCACATGATGTTATGTGCATCCCAAATCTTTTTCTCATATTTATAATGATAAAAATGCATTTAATTATAAAAATTTAAAGCATAAAAAACAATTCGTGCAGCAAGAATAAATATGATAGTTCACATTCCTCTTGTACCCTTTAATCAAAAAAATATTTTTATATTTTTTAATATTAATTTTGTGAGGAGATGTGTGTTCTACTTAGACCAGGTTTCATACATAATAACTAGAGTATTGTATAAATGTAGTAATGTAAACTTTACATAGTAAAAGAAATGTTGTCAAAAAGTGGTGGTTGGAAAATAGTATATTCTTCTGTGGTGCTCTTATTATTTGATTATATTATATGGGTATACTTTATGTAGCTAAAAATAAAAACAATGAACCATTTTTAAATATAATTTGAAATGTATAGCACACCCAAGTAAAGGGTTAAATTAGTGTGTTATTTTGATAATAATGGCCAGTATACTTGCTAAAAATGTTATCTTATTTATTTCAAATTAATATTTATACGCAACATAGGAGATAATAATTTATACTTTATGATCGAATAAAAATTTGATCATGCCAAAAATAAGAATGCAAGTAATTGATTTTTCCTTATCTTATTTAGCTAATTATCTCATGTTCACTTAATAAAATAAGAATGAATTCAATCCATTATTTAATTCACATATACATTTGTCAGTGTAAATAATACAATAATTTTCATCAATCACAACCTAACAAGTTTCAAAAGTAAGGAAATATTTAGTAAGATAATAATGTGATAATTTCAAAGTAATAGATGCAAAATGATTTATCGTAATTTAGCACTAACTGTTGCATCTATGCACCGAGTCCTCCAATAGAAACCTTTTTGCCACTCTCTTTTTATCATAATAAGGTAGGAAAAGATCTCTTTCAATGTTAATAGAGAAACCCAATGTCATTTCTTTCTCTTCAAGCACAAAGACCACTAGCTAGTGAACCATGCAACTTCTTTATGAACACTTTGAGAACACATGACCTCACACCAACACAACATCTTAACTCTTAAAACATTTATAGCTTTAACTCAAAAAATCATGTGGTTGATAGAGAAATAAAGTAACTATAAGGGCAATTTCTTTAAGAATTTTTAATCTTAAAAGAAAATTTCTCTTAAAAAGATTTTCTATCATTAAATTTCTAGCTCTTTCTTGTCCTCATTCTATTTCTCATGTTTGGGGCTTTGACTATATACAAAGAAAGATATATTAAGTGCTTTAGGTAAAAAATTTTAAGGTATTAAGTTTAAAAAATATTGAAATGTATACAATATGAGGCATATCATACAACATAACCAGTTATTTTTGATTTGCATCTACTTACTTGAGATTTAATAATGTAGATAACATTTATACTTTAATATTTACTTATAAAATGCTAAAATTTTAACATTACATCAAAATTTTTATTAAGACTAAGTTTTAAAGAGTGTAATACAACTTCTCGTGACATATTTTGGTGTGATTATAGTATTGAAGAGCAATATAACTAAATATCAAAGAGTAGACGGTCGATATGTAAATACATATGAATTCTAAGGTATGGGTGTAAATTCTCCTATTTCAATATGATTATCATAATCAATATTACATAACTATATTATTTGAACAAGTAGCACATTAGTTATAAATAAAATGAATAGAATATCAAGTTACATAACTACAAAAAGCAATTATGATAATGAAATGCATTATTAAATATAAATTATTTTCAAAATAATAAAAAAAATCATACATACAGAAAAAAAAAAATCATGAAGAACAAATGCTTTTATTTATAAAAACCCTTTTAATGTAAGATTTCACTTGATCAAACGTTCAACTTCTGTTCCGTTCATCCAAGCACGTCGCACCTCATTTGCTGAAGCAATATTTTTCGATCGTCCCCTAAAGCTGTTTTACGAAAACAAAATAATTTCATCACGAATTTTGTTTTCACCAGTTTTACGTCGCACCTCATGAGCTTTGACGTGCATCACGAATTTTGATACAATTTGTTTTAAATCACTCCATTTGGCAAACATCACATCAAAAGAGCTTTGACGTGCATCACGAATTTTGATACAATTTTGCATCAGAACTCTAATCAAAATCTAAATTGCACTCAATTGTATCCACCAGTTTGCTCAGCCCGAATCTGAGTCTCCACCCAAGAGCTCAAGTGCCGTGTCCACCAAAGAGGACATCATTACCTCATGACGGCCCAATCCCTGACTCCCCGAGAAGACATTAAAACACTCCAACTCAGACGTAGTTTCAGCAGTCTGCACTAAAACTTGCTCCATTCCCAAATCCCTAAACAATTCAATGTACTTGCGTTCATGCTTCATCAGAGTAATGGCGAGTCCGATCACAAATCTCCTCATTCTCGGAACCTTGCTCTCCGGACTCTCATATCTCCTCAGTATCTCCACAAGCTTTCCCACAAAGTCTTCATCTTTGATTCCAGCCTTTTCAATTTCGTTCCCACTAACTTGCAGATTCCTAAAATTAAGTATTTGTTCTGCGAGCCCAACTGACACCTCCAAAAGCTTCTCTTTTTCCTTCTCCTTCTCCTCCATTATCGTCTTCAACACCTGTCCAAAGAGTTTTCAATGTCAATCATGAGATAAGCACACAGACAGTATTATTCAGTAAGCATGAGAAGCCAGATTCTTGCCATGGGCATCGCTTCTGCAACCATCTGGAGTCTAGATAATCGCTCCGGAGCAGAGTAAGCGCATAGCCCTCTCAGAATCCTCGCAGCATTCAGTCTTAACGCAGGATTGCCGAGCGCACGAACCAGCCTTCTAACCACATCACCATCTTCCCTCAGCATCCTCTCGCAGTTCCTCCTGCTGTCAAGTATCAGCATCGCCAATGCCTCCCCCGCCTCATTGCACACAGTCCCTACCTCCTCCGTCACCATTGGCCTGAAAAACACGTTAAGAATTAAACGCATCATGCTCCCTGTCGCCCCAATCTTCTCCCTCGCCTCCTCATTCATCCCCAAGCTCGTCAGAATCTCCACTCCCAGGACCTGCAGCTTCAGATGGCTCTCCCCGTACTGCAGCAATTCCCGTATGTAACTCAACAGATACACGATCTCTGATATATCTCTTCGCAGCGTCTTCCCCGTCGCCCCCGTAGTAGAAACTAAAATCTTCACCACCTGCAATGCACGACGCACAGTCTTTATCCTCGACTCCGGCGCACGGTCATTGCGCAGCAACGCGGCGCCGGAGCTCGTCAGATCAATAATCCGTGCAAGCAAACCCCGCGCATTCCCGATCTTCCAACAGTTCTCGTGATCCCTTGCAAGGCGCTTCAGAATTAAAAGCCCGAGCATATTAAAGGCGGAGTATTCATAGTCCTCTTTGTCGACCACGACCGCTCTCGGCGACGCCTCGTAGGGTCTCCCATCCGTCGTCCCTCCGCCGGTGTGCAACAGTGACGCGATCGACTCCATCGCCCCCGGAATCGCCGCCACACGCAGCGCGTTCTGCTTTCTCGAAGCAAGCTTCGAGACGATCTCGCACGCTGCGCGTCGTATATCTTCTTCAGAAGGATCCTTCCAGTTGAGCATCTCAATCAGTCGCTCGATCACTGAAGTGGAGCTTCCGATTTTGCGGAGGGTGTCGCCGGCAAACCGCTTGTTCTCGACGAATCGTTGGAGGATCCTTGCGCCGATGATCTGTTCATCGGGGGAGTCGGAATCGAGGAGCTCCTCGGCGTAGGAGACGAGATCCATCTTCAATCCATCGAAGATGCTGCCGTCGATGCATTTGGAGTATGCGTCGTAGAAGAATCGGCGGAGAGAAACCAAACCAATCGGACCAAGCTCGCACTCCTCGCTCACCCGTTCGACCAATTTCCCCTGTTCAATTTTCCATGTCCAGTAGCCCTTTTCCAACAGAAACATGAGGGCCTCTGCAAGCGCAAGACCGTAGAAGACATTGAGGGCCGACTTTTCATTAATCTCTGCATCTTCTCCGTAGTCCTGCTGTCCTAAACGCATCAACGAAAGAGCTACGCAGGCCACTGCAGCAAGGACTTGCAGCCAGTAGAGCAAACGGCTGATGTTCTTCGACACAAAAACCCAGCCGGAGTAAGGGAGAAGGGGGACGTCTGCGGGGAGCCAAGTTCGCTTCGGCTGCGATAAGGCCGCTAGTCCATTGAGCTGCTGCAAGTTACAAGCAAGGCGGCGGCTTGGCCGAGAAGCAAAGGATAAGGGTCGCGTAACAGCGTGAACCATGCGGCGAGGGATGGAGAGATGCGATTTGACGCGGCGGCGGGAGGTAGCTGCCGGGAGTGTGCGCGTTGACTGATGTTGCCATTCGAGCTCACGGCTACGGCTGAAGAGGCGGGCGCCTTCGACGACGAGAATTATGGTGACGAACCAGAAGTCTTTGGGTTTTAGAGCAGAGGCGAAGCCACCGAGGAGGACGACAGTGGCCCAGATAAAGGCTAGTTGACCGAGACCGCTGGCGCTTTTTTCGATGATGGCGAGGCGCAAGGCGAAGAGGGTGAGTTTCTTTTCCGGCGCATCGAGGGAAGATGGTTGGGGTATGCTGCGGCTGCGGCCAGAGGGCGTCTGGTCGCTGAGCTCACGCTGCGGTTCGAAGAGTGTGGATCCCCAGCTTCCGCTGCCTCCGTTATTTCCTCCATTAGGACGGTTTATTATCTCTAACTGGATGATGTTAGTGTTGTCAGCAGGTTCATCCTTGATCTCCAATTGCTTGATCTTCTTCTTCATCACTCCTGTTGTACGGATTGGTAGGACATGGAAGGGGAAGTTAAGAAGGCAACAAGTTGAGTTGAGGACATGGATGGACTTTGAAGGATATGGAAGGGGAAGTTAAGAAGGCAACAAGTTGAGTTTTTGCAGAGAAAAAATAATGGATGAAGATTGGGAGCACGTCTGCGTGGCGAAAAATTATTGCTTTTCCTTGTGATCCTCTTCGCGTCATTGTCTTCATACGTGGTAGGTGCTTGGTACAGCCTGCCGTTTTATTTAATTATAATTTTGCGGGCTTGAATTCTTGAGCTTGATTAAAAATCTCTGCTTTTTATGTTTTGCAGCTTTACTTGATGCGGAAGTTTTTTCAGCGGTGATTTGCACTGCAGTTTCTGATTAAGGGGATGGTCATTTTCTTGAATTTAAATTCTAGTTGGGAGGGGAGGTTACTTATTTGAAATTTTGATATGTTTTTATTCAACTGCATTTTTGTGAAGCGTTCAAGGGAAAAAAATATTATCTCAGGAGTACTGATGCATCAGTACTCTAATAAGGGGATATCACGTAGGCACCACGATGGTACCATTGCCTACGTGGCACCCCCTCATTGTAGTACTCGTTTTTATTCAACTGCGTTTTCGTGAAGCGTCCAAGGGAAAAAATATTATCTCAGGAATACTGATGCATCAGTAATCTAATGAGGGGGTGCCTACGCGGCACCACGGTGGGACCATTGCCTACGTGGCACCCCCTCAGTCGAGTACTGATAGTCGAGGACCACCAATGAATAAGAGTTATTGGTTTATCTTATTTGCTAGTGAGACTATGGGTCCGTTTGGGGCAGCTTATAAGTGCGGGCGGCGTTTTGAAAACGCCGCCATACCGTTTGGTTCGCGCTTTTCGCCAGCTTATCCGAAACTGCGTTTGGGTTTTTGCACTAAACGCAGGCCTCGGGCCGACCCCTGCGGCCGGCCCGCGGGCCGCCGTTCACG